AACCACAATACTAAATCATAAGAGCCCAATGTTATTTCATTATCTTTAAAGTTCTGAGGATAAAATCACGTGGATAATTTTGAATGTTTGTCACAATGTTAAAATTTGGTGGACTTAGCAAAAGGCTTTTTATGGTGGATAAACAAATATGGATATTTTGAGATTTCCATAATAGGTAATTTGTTGGATCGAGATTACATGATATGAACCAAGGAGCTCCATTTGTCATGCCTCATCGACCGATTACAAATCAAGAGCTAGGAAACTTCAATATTTCACATTTCTAAGTGTTTTTTAAGGTAAGTCAAAGTCAACTTGATCAAGGTCAAAGTCAGCTCCATCAAGACAAGTCAAAGTCAACCCATTCAATTCAAAAACTAAGTCAAACACTCACATCCTTCATTATGGACGGGATTGTACTTATTTTGGTTGGCTTTCCATTTTCTTAACCTTTTCATTTACTTGTCTTTCCATTTGTTGAAATTATGTCTTTTCATTTGCAACTCTTTTCATTTCTTGTAAGTTATGTCTTTTCATTTCTTGTAAGTTACAAGTCTTTTATTTGATTAAGACTTTTCATATGGCTAGCTAGAATGGTTATGTATAGCCTTGAGATGTCTTGTTGTAAACACAATTTGAAGTTTAATGAGAAGTGAGTTTTCTCATTAGCTTGGTTGAGAGCTTTATCTCTAATTTCTGGTGCAATTTCTTATGTCTTTAGAACTTGCAAGTAAGTTAGGATTATTCAAGCGGGGTTGATCATACCTCTTGTGGAGTGATTCGAATCACGAGTTTAGAAACGAGTTTTCTCTACTCTTCATATTGATCATCAAGGTAATTCATTCTTAAACTTTTTCTTGGGTTGATTCCATAGTTGTTTTTGGGGTTTTTGGAATTGAGTTCTATAGGTCTTGTTCGTTAGCAAAGTTCTTAGATCCAACTCTCAAGGGTTTCTTAACATTACACTTGTGCACTAGTGAAACATTTGGATTGTGAGTTGAGATTTTCATTCTTAGCTATAGGTGCTGTTTATCTTAGGATATTGTTTTCTCATTGTGAAAGTTCTGATACTATAAAGAGAATGAAGTTATTTTGAGTTAAAATTTAGTTACAATTGTTGAATTTTCTGTGTATTACAAAGGTATTGCCATCCTGCACAAGGAGCATTAAAATTGAAAAGGAAAGTTACAAGATTCAACTATAAAGGGATATACATGGGAAGCTTCTGTAAATAAATTAATAAATAGAAACAATATCAATTTTAGGCTGAAATAATACTAGATTGATATGGCTAACTGGAGGCTTAAATCATGCATCAGTCTGTGCGGAAGAGGAGACTTGATTGAGAACTCAATGACTTTCTTCCAAATGTTTCATTGTGAGCTGCTGCTAGAGATGAGAATCATTATGTTTTAATGAAATGTCTGAGTAATTTGAGTTGCTAAACTGAAGGCATGAACATTTATTTCTCTCTTTTTTTTTTTCATTCTTCTCTCTCGTTTTTCTTTTAATTCTTTCAGGGGCTTTTTTTTTTGTTTTTTTTGTGTGTAATTTTAAGTTAGTCAAACATCTAAATACGTTAGGCATCTGAGAAGGTCTCATTTGAAGCTATCTTGATTCCCATCCAAACATGTTAGGATTTCTAAGATTTTTTTAGAAGACATCTATAAAATGACTTGATTTATCCCTAATCCTAACTTTGTTTGCCAACTAAAGCATAACTCAGCGGGTTAAGGTACGTGTATCAAATCATGAAGTTGAAAGTTCCAATCCACACCCATACATGTTGGACTAAAAAAATCCTAACTTTGTTTTTCTAGAAAAAAACACTCCCATGGAATCTACTATGTGCCCTTCCTTTTCTTACTTTTTCTCCATTTTGCTTTACTTTTCTACATTTTTCACATTTTTTTTTTGTCCATTTGCTACTCAATTTTAATATATTTTTTTTCAATTAATTTATGTCAAGACACCGACCTTCAAATTAAAAACTATCTAATCAAGTGTTTGCTTTGTTTTCATTTTTGTGTTCTACATTTTACAATATTTATATTTTTACACTTTTCTATATTCTTTTAAGGGGTGTTTGATATAGAATTTGAAAATATTTTTGTTTTCAGAAACATTGAAAAAGTTGCTTTAATGGAGTTTTTTTTTTTAAAGAAAATCTGAATAGAGTCCCAACCAAATTTTGAAATAGCAAAATTCCGTGTTTTCAAAATTATTTGTGTAGTGTCACACATTCTTATAATTTATTCTTATATTCAATTAGGTTTTAACTTTTACCGCTCAAAATGGAATGATCAAATTACAATTCTAGTTTTCTTTAAATTTCTTGTTTTCTGCACTCTCATTTTAGTTTTCTGCACTTTAATTAATTAAGTTCATGCATTTTAATTTTCTGCATTTTAACTTTTTTTTTTTTTTTGCACAAAGTGTAATTTTAATAATTCAAAGTTATGGTACTCAATATGCGAAAAACGCCTTCTAACTTATCTATTTCCCATTCGACAAAGAGCAATCCCACGACACATGACGTTCGAGATTACAACTGTTCGAAATAGATCAAGTTTCTTTTTACCCTAATTGTGTTCTTTAAATCTTAATAATAATGATGTTGGTCATTCATTAATTTTCTTAATACATACCACAATTTTGTTAAAGTTAACACTGCTAGAATCCATATACGTGAATTAAAGTTACCCAACCCATCAGCTTAACCTTTTGGGTTGAGTGGTGGTTTATTCATCCTTAACAGATTAATCTCTATAAGATTACATCTCCAAACCAATTAATAAGAGGAATAGCCCATCGTAGCTTTTTTAGCTCATCTATTTTGGTTGGTTTGGTTGGATCATATTTTTGAATTGGATGCTCGTTTGAACTTTTTAAGCTCTAATACTATTTTAATTTTCAAGGAGTTTCATCTCAAAATCAATTGGACGACGAGAAGAATAGCTCATGTCTATCATAAATCATTGTAAGATCTTTCTCAACGGGATCGATAACAAATACTCGAATAAGCTTATCGAAAACTTAAAAAGATTTTGAAGGTCAAGATTCCCAAGAACGTGGAAAGAGAATGGAGGAGACCAATAAGTTGTACTGCACTTGTTCATCAACATGGTTTGCTGGGTGTACCGTGTACTACAAAAGTTAGCCATATCGTACATCTTTTGCAAATATCAATGTGATCCAATAGTTTATTTACATATTCCATAATCTGATTTTTTTTTCCCTTAAAAATATCACATTATAAATAGGAATTCGATTCTTTTGTGTAATCGAGAACTTTGTTTAATGTCTTAAATTTTAGTTGAATTATTATCAGGTTGTTTCACTTACGCTATTTGTTTCAAACATAAATAATATTGCAATAGAAAAATAGGTGAATACAAATATATCATATAAAAAAAATATATAAAAAAAAAAGTTTCTTCTTGATGTGCAGTTAAAATTAACTATTTTTTAATTAAAAAAATCATTACAAATATGGGAGAAAGATTCAAATTCATAGTGGATCGAAACTACCAATGCCACTATATAAGTTGCACTAAATTTTCAATATTTTAATTCAAATAGCCAAATATTTAAAATATTTTATTTTAATTCTTAAACTCTGCAGACGATGAATTTTTTTTATTAATAACTATAACAGCAAACTTAATACTTGACATATCACAAGTGATGACAAAAACAAAAAGTAATTAATCTTTTTATACAAAGTTTAGTAATTAAATTAACATAATACACAAATCAAAACAAACCTCTAGATTAAAATAAGATTTAAATTAGAAAAATTATAAATTTAGTTCTTATAAAGTTATTTTGTAACGTCCCTAAAGTTTAAAACATTTCAAATATCATTTATACTATTAATAGTATCAAGGGAACGTTGACAAATAAATATATTTTGTGAGATTGATTTGACATCTCATTTACTTTATTATTTTATTTTGTGGGAGTCGGTTCTAAACATATCAAGATAACAATTTGTTGAGTTTCATAACTCTAGAAGTTGGATTATTTGTTTATTTTATTATTATTATT